TGCACGAGCAAGACAACATATAAATAGCTTGTTGCTTGCTTGTATTGATACCTTTGATTTGAATGAAGAATTTGTTTCTGTTGATTCAGCACAGAACGTTCTTCTTGCTTTAAGGTCACTGACGAATCATTATTTTGTACTATTTACTTAGCTTTCTACACCATATTGTATTAGTGAATTGTGTTTAATTCTCTGTTATTGTCTCATTTTCACTATTGGGCTTAATTTGACTAGTAATTTTTTATTTTAATTAATTTGAATTAATTGAGTTTAATTATTCCAATTATTATTTTCAAGACAATTTTGAAATCATATTTTTGGACAATAAGAGTGTGGCCACGTCATTTATTAATTTCCACATCAACAATTATTTTTAATTTCATTTGTAATTTTAATTCCTTTAATTTCAAACCAAATTTGAGATTTGGGCCTACTTTTGGTCAAATTAGGATAAGCCCATTTGGAGGGCATTTTCGTTAAATCATATTGGGGGAAAGCTCTTCCTCTCAATTTTCTTTCAAGATTTGGGTAAAATTTAGGAATAATTTAAAGAAAATGGAAACAAAATCTGGGAAAAATATGAGAAAATTGGAAACAAAACTTGTCAAAAATTTGAGAAAATCGGAAAAAAATTTGTGAGCCTGAATAACTTCAACCAACTTCAAAACAAATGGTGAATATTTTACTAAGTTGTACCTTTAACCGCTATAATAAGTGACATTTGCCATATGGATTATAGAACCGATATATAGAAAGTTTAATTCTATGCTGGTTTCAAAACCTATATAAAAGGTTCGTTTAAACTAGTATAAACCGTTAAGAACTCACCCTTAAGACTTCCTCCTCATAAACTACGGTTGCAGCTTCACTAGGTGAGATAGACTTCATTTTTACTCTCTTAGGACACTTAGAAGTATGGTGCTTGTTTTCTCATTACATCTAAAATACCAAATTTCTCTACCTCTACACCTTTTGTAAGACTCCTCGTATTTATATTTTTCAGTTTCTTTATGCAGATACTTATAAACGTTGATTTAGGTTCTTGGAAGATAATTTAGGTTGACTAAACCTAGTTTCATATAGAGTAGATATTCTACTATACTTAATTCATAGAAATGAAATTGATAGAATATCCGTAAATAATGTTACCTTTTTTAGTGAGTTAATTGGAATAAAATAAAAAATAAATAATTTCTTACAAAATTGTAGTGAGATTGGAATCACAAAAATTAATAGGAAAACCTAGGTGTGAATCAGCTATTAAAAGAAACCAGAATTTTAGTGTAGTTTTATTTGTTATAGTGTTAATGCAAAATATCTCTATCACATCTACTTGTTATTGGTGGTCTGTTGTTGCAACCTCGTATCATCTTGTTGTACTACTCAATTTATTGAACTGTTTGGTTGGCCCGATAAACAATACTGGTCATATTAGTTTAGAAATGAGATCACATTTTGTTGATTGGTTTGAAGTTTTCATTATACTTTTTCTGTCAATATGAAATCTTTTTCCGGTATATTTCCGCTTTGATTAAAAAGAAAATAAAAAAGTCTCTTTACTCTACACACATATATATCTATATCTCTATCTATCTATATATATATATATATATATATATATATTATATATATTATATATAATTTAAAGTTGACAATTAATATTTTCATTTTATATAAGAACCCTTAATATAAAATGGCTAGTTATGAGAATCTCATTTTTTAATTATATATATATATATATATATATATATATATATGTGTGTGTGTGTATATGTATATATATAGTGTGTATATTATATTAATATATATATCTATCTCTCTCTCTCTCTGTCTCTCTCTCTCTCTCTCTCTGTCTGTCATGTTCCTCTCTTCAGTTTCGCTCCTCCCCCTTCCCGGCTCTCTCTCCTGCCTCCTTTTTTTTCGCTCAGCCCTCTCGCCCGCCCCCTCCGCCCCCCCGTCCGTCTTCTCGTCCCTCCCTTCCTGTGCCCCCTTGAAAAAAAAGAAACTTCCTCTCCTTTTCCCACTTCGCTTCTATTCTTCTTTCCGC